TCCTGCGCCGTCCCTCCACCCTCCCAAGCATGATGTCCCTCTCCAAGGACCGGTCTCTCCTCACTACATGTCCGAATTAAGTTAGACGGAGCCTCTGTATGCTGAGCAAATCATTCATTCATAAAGCTGGACTCTGTGAAGGGACTGTGGCATTAGGATTGGAAAACGTTTCATCGATAACCCATAATATGCAAATGACACAACAACCTTAACAACTCTGTTGTTGTTATTGTTGTTATGATGACTCATAGAGGCCCTATGAAAAATGACTCTGAATTTTGCCCTATAATGAGCCAATTTCATCTTCTCTGACAAGCCTGACCTCATTGCCACAATTACTGTGTCAATCTATGTTATCCAAGGTCTTCATCTCCTGGGCTGACCCACTCTTCCCTTCCAAGCATGATACCCTTCTCCAAGGACAGGTCCCTCTTGGCAACATGCCCAAAGTATGAAATAGATGTTCAAAATCCTTGCCTCCAATTAGCTGAGAGAATTGACATTATTGTGTCAGTTTAATCAAACAGGTAACTGAGATACAGAACCTTTATTACACGAACTCATTTAACATTTATTGACTGACTACTATATGCCAGGCATTGTTCTAGGTAGGATTTTGTATCTTTCTAATACCAGAGTCAGAATATTTGAGTAATCATTTTTGCTGCAAAAGTAGTCACACTCCATTCTTGTATTCAGTGAACTGCTGGAATACAAAGACTGTGATGCAAGCTTTGATAAATATATTTGCTGAAGCATATCAAAACATAAAGTTTTGAGGTATGACTTATAAAGGAAAGATTTTAATGTTTTGTATGCATAATAAGTGGCAAGTCCCATGCATATTTATGGAGCAAAATGATGTATGTTTATTTATCTTTGTACATGGATTAAAGGTCAAGACTTAATTACAGAATAACTGAGTACAAGGTATGTGTAAGCAATCACGCATAAAACAGTACTTAATGTAGCAAAGGTAGCTTTATGTGTCTATGGCTTGATTTCTTCTCATTCTCTAGAGGATTTTCAAGCAATATATAGATGCTATACACATCAGTCATAGACATTAGCAAATGGTTTCTATTAGACAAACTCAAAAGAGTCCAGCTAAAACTGGAACATTTTACACTAAAGAAGAAAAATCTGAACTGGTTTGGTGAAATCTTATTCTGAATGTCTACCAGAGTGAAATGTACAGTAGTACAATTTCTGGGATGTAAACTAAGTTATTCTCTACAGTGAGGTTTTTCACAGACATTAAGTGCCCTGTATCCACTTTAGAATGCATTTAAGGGATTTTTTTCTTTTTCTTTCGTAAATATATCTCCAGTATGCTCAGGTTACAAATCAAGTCCAAGTCTTTTAACAATTTTGTAGGGTCTACTGTCTACTTGTTTTATTGCTTGTTAGTTGAAAATTCCAAATGCCACTTACACACATATATATCTGGTTTCTAGTGTTTAAATTTTTTAAAGATGCGTGCTTGGGAGGGTGGAGGGACAGCGCAAGAGAGGAAGACCCTCGATGAGATGGATTGATTCATTGACTGGGGTAATGAGGGGTAGGTGTGTCTGGCACAGGATAGAACAGGGTTTAGGGCTGTTGAACATAGGATCGCTATGAGTCGCAGATGGCACATTACAACAACATTTTTAGTTCTATTAAGGGCATTAGCAATCAGAAATTGGGACACGAAAAATACGTTTTCTCAATATCAAGTTCCAATACTGGCAACAAGAGTCATAGATTTGGAGGTTCTTACACAGTGTTGTAAACAGTTTCCATGGTCCCTGTCCCTATAGCCTTCCTGCTCTGGCAGAATGCGGTCTTGTTCGCCACACCATTGATGTGGTCAAACTAGTCAAGTAACTCTTGACTAGTCATTTGGAGAAAAGGCACATTCCTTAGTGAAGCTGATGTGTCCTGCCTTCACTCCTTGAGTCATTGTTATTGAGCCTTATATTAGGGCTAGAATGCTAGCATCTGACGCATCATAAATGCAAAAAAGTTGCTCCACTGCAGGGCTCTCCCTACCCCAGTGGCGATAAGCTCAAGCAAGGTCATGAAGAGGTGGATTTTCATTCTCTGTCACTTTAAAGGTGTTTTTTTCTCTTTTTCCGTAAGTGGAAGGGAAGATTCGGAGGATTGCATGACTCCAGAATCTGCAGGGGCAAGTAGAGAGGTTCAACAAAAGGGTGCTTTCAGTGGACAGTCCTTACATTCACACCGCTCAGCCCGCGCTCCACCTAGAAAAGCCCTGAAAACTCGAAGCCTTAACTCAGCCGGGTTACGCAGCGCTAACGCAAATAAACCAGAGCAAAGAGAAATCCACTGGCTTCACGGAATCCCGCCTCTTTTAAGCCGCGTACTGAAATCAAACGCGACGCTCACTCGTGGGAGGCCGGGCCGCGCATGCTCCGCTCCGTCACCCGGGCAAACGGCGATCCCCGCCTGCCCACCTCGGAGCTGGGCGGAGCCGCCTCGAGGCGGCGGGGAAAGGCGAGCCGAAGAGGAAGACACGCCGGAGGCCCGCTCTGCGCAGGCGCGTGGCGCCCCGCCCCCCGCAGTGTCGCCTCCCGGGCGGGCGGTGCGGGCCCTCCCACTGTCCCCCGCGCTGTCTCTCCGCCCTGGCCCTCGCTTCACCCCAGCACCCCAGTGTGAGCGTCCTCCTGCCGGCCTGTAGGCCGGCTGCTTCTGCCTGCCCTGCCGCTGCTCCTCGCGGCCCCATCTTGCGTTCACGCTGTCGCCCGGGCCAGCGCGGCCGCGGGCAACCGCTCCCCCTCCCACACCCACCCCGCCCCCTCCCTGCCTTTTCCGCTCTCCTGTCTCCCTCCCTCGGCCCGCAGCCTCTGCTCCAGATGAGGTGATGGCAGCGTCCAACTTCGGCAAGATCCAGATCGGGATTTACGTGGAGATCAAGCGGAGCGATGGTGAGCCACGCCGCTGACCGGGCCAGCCCGTCATTAGGGTGTGCACCGAGGGGACGCGAGCACTGGCCACCTCATTGATTGCTCCGTGGGCTGTGGGGGCGGGAAGGCGGCGGCCGCAGCGCTTTTGTGTGTGGTGTGTGTGTGGATGAGGCCGGCGTGGTGTCCGCCCCGGGCGCCGCGGTGGTGGTGGTGGCCCTTGCGGAGGGTTGCGGACACTGCGCGGCGGGGCACGGAGCCTGAGTGTCATGGGCAGTGTCTGTAGGGGCTTCGGCAGACGCGGTGCAAGGGCCCAGGGTGGGGGCCGGGAAGGCGGCCCCGCGCTCCTCTCGCGATCGCCATCCTCTCTGGCCGTTCCAGCCTTGGAGCGAGCGGGCTTCGAGTTGGGATGACCCTACCGCGCGTTTCCATCCCGGCCTTTTCATTTTTACTGGCCTCCTCTCTGAACGTTAGGCGGGTTGGGAGGGGTAAGGGTAGTGATCTCTGTGTGGGGAACCGACTTCTGCATAAGAGGCTGGGGCGGGGCGGTGGGGGTGGTGGGCAAAGACCAATTCGTTTCCTTAAGCTGCTGTCTGATTTGGGGGCCTCTTCGGCGCCTGTTTTTGGAGCCTGTTCCTTGCCTTTTTTGCTAAGCCTCTTCTCGGGGAGAAGGATGTAGACGGTGCTATGCTTTGCCATGAATAAGGATAGGGGGAGGGGACAGTGGGAAGAAATAGTCGATAAGCTGCTCAAAGGTGATGAGACTGAACGGGAAGGAGAGGCCATGAGCACCCTCGTTGCAGGGCCCTGCCGATAGGGTGGGGGTGGGGACCGGATGTTGATATTTTCACACCCTCGGGAGAGGTGTAAGGAACGTGATGAAGACACTTGCTTTATTTTTTTTTTTTTTTAAGCCTCAGGCTTATTTATTGCTTTATAGCTTGATCTTGAAGAAAATGTTTTGTGGCTTTTGGGATGGGCAGTCAGTGAAGTAGGTCTCTGGACAGGGAAATAATCTGTGTAGCAAAGGAGAAAAGGAAAATGGATTACTTTCACACTGAATATCAAAGTATTTAGAAGTGTGTGATGTTCTAGACTCCACCTCTATACCTGTTCTATTGTAGCTTGCTTAATGCCCCTCAGCCTAGTAACCTTGCTGTCACATCCACATCCCCTTGGTATCTAGCAGCTTGACCACGTTAGGTGGAGCTAAATTGGCTTATGTTGGCTATGTGATAGGCTGAGAATCTGTGGTGGAGTGCCTGCCTTTTAGGTTGCACTGCAAACCAAGTTGTCAACAGTTCGAACCCGCCAGATGTTCTACCCAAGAAAGAGACTCTCCTGTAAAGATTTGCAGCTTTAGAAACCCAGTGGAGGGTAACTATGACTATGAGTTGCATTTCACTGGAGACATAGGTTTTATGTAATCGAAAAGCTCTGGTGACTGAGTGTTTAACGTATAGGCTATTAACCCAAAGGTTAGTAGTTCAAATCGACTAGTTGTTTTGTGGGAGAACAGGGACCTGGCTGTTTTGGTTAGTTAACTGCCTAGAAACCTGGTGGAAGGTCACCCTGAATTGGTTGACTTGGCTGCCTGGTTTCTCGAGAGTGATTTGGTGTGGTTC